AGAGTGATATGAAGAGACAGACATTATTTATGAGTTAAAAAATGTATGAGTTATACTATAATGAAATGGAAGGGAAAGTTATATTCTTCTATCGGGTGGTGGCATCCTAAATTCAAGGTATGTCAACCATTTTAATTTTTACGGAATAATTCTAGCCCAAAAACTACATTAATAATTTAATACTATCCATCCAGTTTCCATATTATTTTTCTAATGCATGGTCTGATGAGCCCACAACCTATCACATGAAAAACAGCGTGGACCACCCTGGATGGGATGTCAATCACACAGCAGGACTCACGGCAAGGGCAATCTGGAAATTCCTGTTGGCATGTTTTTGGGGGGAAACCACAGACACTAACTGATTTCCACAGTCAACGCCCAGAGACACATAAAAACTAGTGATGAAAATGCTAAAAAGCATGATTAAAATAATTGTGTACGTTTGGTTTATCTTAGCTGATGCCTTTATTCAAAGCGACATATATTTTCAGAGGACGCAGGGTCAGCATGGAGCTGTTGGGGGGTTAAGAGCCTTGTTCTGGGGTCCAACGGTAAAACCAGTCTGCCAACCCGGCCACCTTCCCATCCCAGGCGCTGTGTCCTAACATGCTGAGCCACACACCATTATTCTATTACAATTATCTGAGTGTGTGTACGACCAGAGCAAGGCAGAAACAGCCTCTGCAAGTTAGTCTCCACATGACATTGAACAACCCCAACTTTGCCTTCAATGCAAGAAGCCTCTTGAAATGATACACACTTACATTTACTCTGGACTTTTTACTTTATTCCCAAGTCATTCCGCTGCAAGACAATGAATCAGCATTACGTTTGTTTTGGAATGCTAAACATCTATTTTGTATTTTCAAAAGTTCGGCATTCTGGTCATTGCTATTCGTGTTCGTTGTAAGAGATTACAGTGATGCATTCTGCATATGATAGAGTCGTTATGTTTAACTGCTCAATAATTATATCATCTCAAGTAAATCATGATGTTTTATCAGACATCTGAAGAATGTAGCTTGCATAACTATGGGAATATGAGAAGCCATAGACTAGAGGGTTCAGTTTAGATTGACAGTTATCAATACATTATAGTCCCCTTTGATCATTAATTAACTATATTGATCAATATGAGTTTAAGTGTAAAGAAATGTATGCAGTATAGTGTAAGCATAAGATATGTAACATATGTTTTGGACAGTGATCACTGGCAGTAAGCGTTTGCTCAAAATATACTTTTTTTGAGAAATAATGATGAAAAGTGCTGGGAAGATAGCTGTAGCTTTGAATCAATGTTCAATTAGTTTCCACAAAGCTACATAAAAGAGCCGTTCAACTTTTGTTCCTTTGAGTCTGAGCGTATGTAAGATTTTGTGCCAGCCCCCATCAAGCAATCATTTATGCTTTATAGAGCAGGCCATTTCTGTAATCTAATTAGAAAAATAAAACTCCAACAACTTCTAATATCATTTATGTTTACAAAAGTATCTCATGTATTTTCTAGAGTGAACTTGACGTTGGTAATGAAATTAATATTTTATGAGGATATTTGTCCGCATCACAATCTAACGGTGTCACATACAAAAATAGATGCTGGATAATATTGTGTGTGTGTGTGTGTGGGGGGGGGGGGGGGGGGGAGAGTGGTCATGGTTCATCACAGGATGATGAGTCAGGTTTTAATATCAGCATTGTTTTGGTATTTAAGCACAAGGGTTTGTTGTGTGTTCTGGCTATAAATCAGACTGAGCCAGACTGGAAGTGAAAAAGGGAAGCTGCCTGCCTATTAATCTTTTTTTGACTGCAGAAGCAGCATTTTTTTGGAGTTTTGTTCCTATTCCTTTCATTCTGGGGGGAAAGAAAAGCTCTGGTGTACAGCTTCTGTTTCCTGGGCTTCTGAGCCTCTCACATCTTGTTATGTCTGAGAGCGTGTTGTAGACATCCTGAGAATGGCTGAAATGAGACGCTCTCTCAGTTTACTCATGTATTGTTCCCAGTCATCATATAGATTGATCTTCCTTATCTGGAGCGCTGGCAGATCTGCCAAAAGCCCCATTCCCTCCCCTGCTTCTAGCTGTAACCCTTCTGTTACCTAATAATATTTTTCTTTTGTGCTGATAACAGAATAAAAAAAAAAAGTTTACCCCCACTTTCATCCCCATCACAGTGTCACATGGCTTTGTTTGCTGTAATGCCTGAAGCAATTCATGTATAGAAGATCTGGCAGCTTATTTCACTCAGGAACATAGCAAACTCAGGTAACCCCCAGTTCACAGCTTTGATACAGTAGCAATTCTGACCCAGTTCCAGTAGCAAAATGTTCACTGTTGAACTTTAGATTGTAAAGAGCGCAGTACTTTTATACAAATATATATGTCTTTATTTTTTTTGTTCATGTGTAGGGTAGCATGGTGACCTCACACCACCAAAAATTTGCAGCTCAAATGCCACCTGTGTGTGTGGAATTCCATGTTCTTCCGGTGTTGTGACTGGGTAGCAGTTAGGGTTGTCATTGTTGGCATTAGGGTTTTTCCCATAGAAATGAATGGACGATCCTCTCGAAGAGATGGATAAAAATGTGTGTGTGTGTGTATGTGCTTGTTTGTTTGTACCATGTGATAGAGAAGCAGGATGCTCAGGATGTGGATATTTGTATGTATTTCTGCACGTTGCCTTTTGTAGATGACTGAGGAGAGGCTGGATGGCTTAGATTCTTCTCTGTTCAATGATAACTAATAAATGCTGTGGGTTTGCTGAATTACAATTACGTTCCATCTTTAACAGTGAACATATAATAGGGATTTGTTTTCTGGTTTTGGATAATAATTGATTGTCTGTAAATGATGACTTTGATAAAAAACAAATAATTAAAGCAACCCTTACAATTAAACTGTAAAGAAAGATGAGGGAAGAATATGTAATTCAGCACAGAGGAGCCACTGCAGTATAAAATCAGAGCTTAATGGAAAAGCAAGTAATCAGTTTTGCAGCACATAACAAGGAGTACATCGAACTCCATATGTTGTATGCATTGTCAGACTATTTAAAGTAATTTAATCTGGGTTGTTTTTTGGAGATTCATAATTAAGATGGTATTCTAATTAATTGCTATGCCTGTGACCTTATACTGGAAAACTGGACTAATGACAAATATGGATAACCATTATCTTAAACATCCATCTCTCCATCCGTCTGTCCGTCCATCTTATATATATGCTTATTTTATGCAGGGTCTGGAGCCTATTCTGGAAACTATGGGCACAAGGCAAGGAGTAACCCAGGACGGGGTGCAAACCCATACTGTACCTTAAACTTTAAAATGTATTTAAGCATTACAGTTGCTGTAAAAGACTGACACTCATTAAAGAACTGATTGGTTCAACCAGAAGATTAATAATGACATCAGATGTATAGTGCTGTGCAATACTTAGCCAGTCAAAAATTGTTTAATGGTATTTATCTCAATAGTAAGAATATATTTTCTCAGAAAAAAAACACAATTTAACCTTAGAATGAATGCATATTAACAGTAGCACAAAAAATAAACAAAAATTTCTTCTCTTCTCTAGTAATTTACTGATATCTTGGATGGGTAGATAAACATTATTTTGTTTCCCAAACCTCGCCTCAGGGGCACCAGCTAATTAATTAATTAACCTAATTAGTTATATTACTCAAAGAGGTATTGATATGCTAAATTGGTAAATTGGGTGGGGTAGTGTCCAAATAAAAAAATACACTGGTTTATTGGACAGTTGCTGCTTACACTGAGGTAATTTTAGGAGTGATTTTGAAATGGCTAATCTGATACAGCTATACACCAACATGAAGATCATTTAAACATCATTTTCTTTCCTAAGACTTTTGCACAGTGCTGTAACTTCATCTTAAAAAGGGTTAAAAAAAGGGTCACAATCAGGACAAGGTTGGATTCAATGTGAATTTTTGGCATATGTTCATTTATGTTTTGTAAGATGTGAAACCAATTGTTGCTTTTTTAACTCCCCACGGAAGTCAGGGAGTAATAGCAACTATCTTTAAGAGTCATTATAAATGTAAGCAGTTGTCGCTCTCATCGTCATTCATCAGCTTTGAACTGAGCATGTTTGAGCTGTGTCGCTCTCGCACAGTGTTGTGTGCAGTGGTCTATTGGCCTCCCAAATACAATAAGGATTTTGTGAATGACTTTTCTGAATTTCTGGCTGGAATTATGCCTAAATATGATCACGTTTTTAATGTTGGAGATTTTAATGTCCATGTGTGCCTTGGCGCTGCACTGAACTCTCTGTGTTGGTCTTGGACTATAGATCCTCCTTTGCTCGTCTTTCCTGTGGGGTCCCACAGGGCTCAGTTTTAGGTCCTCTTCTCTTCTCCCTTTATTAGCTTCCACTGGGTTCCATACTTAGGAAGCATGACATCTCCTTCCACTGTTACCTGGACGATACTCAGATCTATGTACCTCTTAAAAAGAAGGATGCATGCTCTGTTAGATCGCTGCTTGAGTGTCTAGACTATATAAAGGCCTGGATGGCTATTCATTTTTTTAAAATTCAATGACAGTAAGACAGAAGTGTTGGTTTTTGGTAGCTCCACTTATGACCCCCACTGTAAATTTAGGTTCCTTGGAACAATATTGTAAACCAGTCATCACAAACCTAGGGGTTAAAGTGGACACCGACATTAAGTTTCACACTCAGATAAGGGCAGTTGTCAAGTCAATCTTGTTACAATTGAGGCAGCTGGCCAAAATAAAGCCAATTCTTTATTGGCAGTAACCCACTCATTTATCACTACTCGTCTGCACTACTGTAACGCCCTCTATGTTGGGGTTAGCGGCTCCTCTATTGCTCACCTCCAGAAGGTTCAAAATGCTCCTGCACATCTTTTAACTGGCAAACGGAAATATGAGCATGTTTCCCCCATTTTAGCCTCACTCCACTGGCTGCCCGTACATTTTAGGATTCAGTTTCAAATTCTGTTATTTGCTTTTAAAGCCCTGAATGGTCTTGCCCCGCCCTACCTCTCTGAGCAGCTTCACTCTCCCACCCGCTCTCTCAGGTCGACTGATCAGCTGCTCTTCAGGGTTCCTAAGTCGTAGCTGTGGAATGACCTGCCCTTTCACATTAGAGGGGCCTCTTCTCTGTCCATTTTTAAATCTCTTCTTACAACTCATCTCTTCTGCTTGGCCTTTCACACTTTGTGAGATATTGATTTTAATAGTAAATTTGATCTTAATCTTGGCCTTTTCTTTATTAATTTATTTAATTGATGGCCTCTTACTCACATTTTTTTTGAGAAATATGCCCAGGCATTGTATTATTCCACGTTGCTCAGGTTGTCCTTCAGCTTTCAGCTTTCAGCATGCACTTTTTGTGTCATGTCTAGAGGTTTCCTTGCTGCTAAGGCGCAACTCGTTTATGAAAATGTGCCGTGAACAGAGTCGCAGGGCCATGAAAAGCAGCATCATTGACTGTATCTGTAGAAATGCCCATTAGTCTGTATAAATTGAGCCAGACTCCAAATAACCACACTCATTTTGGAGAATGACAAATGCTAAGTAACAAACCTTGGCTGGTGGGCTATTACAGATAAGACAAGTCTGTGATAGTAAAAAGGCTTTTCTTGTATATTCTATCTTCCTGCTGAACGAGGCGCATTTAGCGAAACAGCACGCAAGGTGGACTCAAACAGCTGACAGGCTGGGTTGGATATGTCCCACTTGGGACCAGTATCGTACACATAAACCTCTGATCCTTTAATGCTTCACTGCAAGCACATATTTAAGTATGTGGAATCTAGGAACTGATCGGTGAATTTGTTTACTGTTTATTTACAATACAAACTGAATGCCCATTCGCTTGCATGGCAGATATCTATCTCAGCCCACACATTTTCACTAGGCAATAGTGCACTGTAGCGGAAAATCCTGCAAATTAAAAATGCAAAAGTCAGCCAAAACAGAAGAATGAATTCACTCTCTGTGTTCATTAAATATCATTTCTTTTTTCTGATGTATGTGAACTTTGTACTTATCCTGAAATTGCCTGTCAAGGAAAGGACATTGTGCATCTCGGTCTATAACGATTCCACTGGATAATCACAATGTGTCTTGTATATATTCTTTTGTATGTATTCATGTATTCTTTTGATCTTTTCTTGACTATGTGGCTGCTATTGAAGGGTCCAAACAATAATGTAAACACTTCAGGCATATAGTAACTTTTCATTTGAACTACATTTAATATTATATTTTAATCATAATTTCCTAGCCTCGTCTTGTTTGCAATTTACTATAAAAATGTCTCAGATCAAACTAGAATAACAAAATTTTGTTCTTCTTTTTCATTTTTTCTTAATTTTGCTGTTGTTGTGAAGTGCCACTTATATTACAGAGTATGTCAGATGTTTTCCCATAATTACACTTGTTTGTCAGAATATTAATATTAAAAGACCCTGTGCCTGTACTTAGTCTTTTCTGACATTACTTATATGTCAAATCTACCAATTTTTCTATTTCCCTTAAATGTTTCTACATACCACCTGTTTAATACTGTATAATTAAACCAAACAAATTTTCAAGAAGTCGAAAATTTAAAAAAAAATCCACATACTGATGCATTCAGTTAGTAATTATATTAATCATTTATAATATACATTCAATAGAAAACAACATTTATCAGTGAATTTACATCCTGAGGTCCAGTTTGTGGCTTCCACTGTGATATATTTAGACTCCAAGTGTTGCAGTTACGGGAAATCTGTCTGGGTTAGTCTGCATGAACTGCTCTGCCAGGAAGTGATCTTGGCTGAATGCTCTCTGTGGCATAAATCTCAAATCTATTACTATGGCTTGTTGAGTTTTAAATGGTGGGCAGTTCATTTTAACACTATTAATTAGGCACGGGTATGATGACCTTTGAAGGTTCTCTACTGACTACACAAGTGGATTTTTTTCATCAAGCATGAAAAGTGAGAAGCAGAAAGAGTGTTTTAAAAGGGATCATTTGTTCTCATTTCTGTATGAGCTTTTAAAGCTTTTATTTATTCAGTGCCTTTTCAAAAGAATCTAACATGCATAGTAATAAGTATTTTTCACATTAATCCAGCTGACTGGTTGGCACTGCCTTGATTGACATCATAGGCATAGAGACAAGTTCCCTTCAGTGGATTAATGTAGTGCTGTGACTGCCCACCAGAGAATGGACTAGGGAGAGTTTCCATTTCATAACAATACTCACTATTTCTGCTTGGTTAGTGTGCTGTGTTCTGTAAGTACAGATTCATTTACCATTTACTGTATTCCATAAAGAGACTTAAAAAAATGCAATTTTTGTATGTAAAACTGTCATTAAATTGACTGGAAGAAAATTCTAAACAAATCAAAATGCTAAGTAAATCATTGCTGCAGCCTCTTTGAAGTATTGAGGGACATTGTGAATGAAAATAGCTCACATTAAGAACAGCTGAATGCTCAATAAGGTGGTTTGGTTCAGAGTATTCATCCATTCATCCATCCATCATTTGAGCACTTATCCTGGTCACAGGGTGAATGCAATCTATCCCAGGCAGCACAAAGCTTGAGATGTCAGACCATTACAGGACACATATATAATCATACACTACAACTCTCTTAGACACACCAATTAAATCGACTGCGTGCCTTTGGACTGCAGAAGAAAGCCCACATGACACAGGAAGAACATGCAAACTCCAAACACGCAGAACCGGATTGCAGCCCCACAACCTATAGGTGCTCAGCAACTGTGTCAAGCTCTGAGCCACCTTGTACCCACACATGAAGCTTGTTATGTCTGGTTTTTGTTGTTCAGTTTGATCTCAATTCAAGATTCAAGATTCAAGAGGTTTATTTGCCACATACACAGTTGTACACATACAACATATAGTGAAATGTAACCCTGGCAGCTGAGCATGATAAGAGAATGAGAACACAGAAAAAGAGAGTAAGATATAAAATATAAAGATAACAAAATTTAGGCATTTAAAGAATTTATGACACACAAACAACCCTACAAGTGTTTTAATGTTGTTTTGGTTATTAGGTTTTGTTTATGTAACGTATACATTTAAAGAAAATTACAGTCTCGACAATTAATACACCTAGGAATTTTGCAGGAGCCATGAATATTAAATCCATTGCTTAAGGGTGTGTGGTTTCCATCCCACATGACCTGAATTAGTAACCTTCAAATGACAAGGCTGTGTCCTGAACCCCCACACTGTCTGCTTGCCTAATTATTCAAGAACACATTTAGAAGTGAAATATGTTGCGTTTGGGGCAGTGCAGTGGCGCAGTGGGTACTGCCTCATGTGTTTGGGCCCAGGGTTTGATATGGATTCATGAATGTCGAGTTTGCGTGGTCTCCCCGTGTCATTGAGGGGTTTCCTGCAGGTACTTTGGTTTCTCTCCAGTCTACAAAAGCATGCTGAGGTTAATTGGAGTTGCCAAATTGCCTATAGGTGAGAATGATGTGTGACTTTGGCCTATGATGGGCTGGCTCCCCATCCTTGTTCCCTGCCTTGCGCACATGGACTCCGGACCTCCCGTCATCCTGAATAGGACAAGCGGTTTCAGAAAATGGATGGATATTTTGTATTATAAAGAGTCAGTGTTTTATACATTAACGCATGTTTATATGCGTGGAATAGACATCTGTGACATGGAATAGACAGCTGTGATTGTTCTTTTATACGTGGTGTGCTACTTAACTGCTGCTGTGTCATGTTGACTTGGTGACCGAATAGATAGCATTTCTCCATGATGCAAGAAATCTTCCCATGGTTCTGTGCCTTGCTGGGCCAGAGGAAGCGTACGTGCATGGGGGAAGCTAAAAGTTATGTTGCCCGGAGTTTTTAACTCCTGTCTGAATCATCCTTGGCAAATTACTGTCGTAGAGACACTAAGAGCTGGATCAGTGGCAGATGATCATGGTGGTGATAATGGCAAACGGTTTAGGAGAAGACAACGGTGAAACACTTCCATACCTTACCCTGACAAGGAAAACTGGTAGTTATTAAGTATGAATGTCTGTTGCTTTCTCTGGAGAGGAACCTTCCCTTGACTGTGACTGTGACTGATACACAATGTATATACAATGTATGTGCATGAATATGAAATATAATATAATGCTTAAAGATTGGGGTTAAATAAGACATTGTATAGCATGCATTTCACACTGTATGATGGATTAAAATATTTTTAAACTGTGTTTTTAGGAAATAAAAAGCAGGATTATGAATAGCTTCATACTAGGACTGGGCAATATATAGATGAAATATTGTATTGTGATTATTGTATCGTGATATAGCATAAACACTTGTTATCTTGCATACTTAACAGTTATACAGTAATACACTATTTAATTTCATCGAGGTATGAGTCTGTTGTTGGTGTAATTTATCATCATACCTGTCACATGCTCCATAACTATTAGTATTTGGTCATCATAATCAGGAAAAACTCAAAGCCTCCTGTCATATTTTACCATTAATATATATATTTTTAAATGAGTTTTCTTCATATGAATTATAGAATATTGCGGTAAACATCAATACTGTGAAAATACTGTGATATCAGTTTTAGGGTATATTACCCAGCCCTACTTCCCATGCTTGCTCTCCACTGTGTCTGGTTCTATCCTGATTTACCGCCAAAACACCCATAGGAAAGTTAGACAAGTTATAGGTGCCATAGGAATCAACCTGAACTGAGACTTGGCTTCCCCCAGTGTTGATGAAGAGTGACTGTAGCTATTATGATGAAATTTTATCTCTATCCGTGTTTCTACTGACTAAAATATTTTTACTACTTGACACAGCAGTTGACATTTACTTGTGATTAAAGCTGATCTTCTCTCTCTCCTCAGAGGGAAGGAGTTTGGGCATGATGTTGATTTTATTCTCACCACCCCTGAGTCTGGAAAGGAAGAAAGCCTCCTGGTTGGTGTTATAAAAAAGCTCCATACTAAAGTACGTACACTTTCATTTGGGTCCGTGAAGATCATTATGTTCCATCCAGTAATTATCCGTAGTTTCTGGTCCTTCTTAAACAAAGGGAAAAAAAAGGCAACACAATACATAATTTGACTGCCAGCTATATGAAAGATCTGATGTGTAAAATAAAACGTTTGGCTGAAATGTAAAGGTTTGCTTTATGTCAGCAAATATCTCCAAAATAGTCATGTGGCACATAACGACATTTCGGTCAAAGACGAACCATGATGGTGGTCCCAAAAGATTGTACTGTGATGGGACTGAAAAATTCCTGTCGCCTAGTGATGTGTTAGCTGTCATGATGTCATATCGCAGCATAACTCATTTGTTTGTGGTGATGCTGCTGTAAACAAACTTACTCCACTGCCAGTCATATAAAAGTATAGCACATACAATTATGTATAGTACATAATACTCCAAAATGATAATAAACAACCTGCGGTGTGTTGGCACCCTTCCAGGGCTGGTGTGCCCGTTGGGCCCCCCGCGACCCCAGTGGGGATTAAGCGGTTACGATAAAGGATGGATGGATGGATGGATAATAAACAACAATGATATAAAAAAATACTAGTTATAAAAACCTTACTGTAGCCTAAGTGTGCGGTAGGCCAAACCATCTAGGTTTAAGTACACCCTATCATGCTTGCTCAATGACAGATTTACCTAACTATGCATTTCTCAGAACGCATCCCTGCTGTTAAGTAATGTATGACTATATATCTCTTCTTGGATGATAATATTAATTAGTATTGCCTAGATACACTCACCTAAAGGATTATTAGGAACACCATACTAATACGGTGTTTGACCCCCTTTCGCCTTCAGAACTGCCTTAATTCTACGT